CACTCAAAGCAAGGGCGAATTCTTCAGGGCGTACAAGCAGGCCAAGAGAAAGGATGACGATATCGCCATTGTCACTGGAGCTCTGCGGGTTCGCTTGGATGATGAAGGCATCGTTCGAGAAGCAGCCCTCATTTATGGTGGCATGGCTGCTATGACGGCTGCTGCCAAAACAGCAATGGAATACCTTGTCGGACGACGATTCGCCGACTTGGAGACTTTGGAGGGAACTATGAACGCTCTTGGTCGCGACTTTGACTTGCAATTCAGTGTTCCGGGTGGCATGGCGTCTTACCGAAAGTCTTTGGCCTTTGGATTCTTCTACCGATTTTACCATGACATTCTGACAATTCTCGATGGAAGCTCGGAGCAGGTCGACAAGGAGGCTATTGACGAGATTGAGCGAGATTTGTCCAGTGGAGCAGTTGATGAAGACGCTGCTGTGGCTTATAAGAAGGAAGTGACCGGTAAATCTAACCCTCATCTGGCTGCCCTCAAGCAAACAACAGGCGAGGCTCAATACACCGACGATATCCCTGCCATGAAGAACGAGCTTCACGCCTGTTATGTTCTTTCAAAACGAGCACACGCCAAGATCATCTCTATCGACTACTCTGCCGCTTTGGATATTCCGGGAGTAGTGGATGTTGTTGATAAGGATGACATGCCAAACCCTGATGCCAATAAATTCGGTGCTCCTCACTTTGACGAGGTTTTCTTCGCTGAGGGCAAGGTTCTGACAGTGGGTCAGCCGATTGCCTTAGTTCTGGCAACTTCTCCTCTGCGAGCTCAGGAGGCTGCTCGGGCAGTCAAGATCGAATATGAAGATTTGCCATCTGTGCTCTCGATTGAGGATGCTATTGCAGCCGATAGCTACCACAACTTCTACAGAGAAATCAAGAAGGGAGACACGGAGAAGGCTTTCAAGGAGTGTGACCATGTGTTCACTGGAACAGTAAGAATGGGCGGTCAAGAGCATTTCTACCTCGAGACCAATGCTTGCTTGGTCGTCCCTAAGCCTGAAGATGGAGAGATGGAAATTTTTGCCAGTACTCAGAACGCGAACGAAACGTAAGTCTTGCTCTTGTTGTTTCTGCTTGGCGAAATAAGATACTAACACTTTTTTCAGACAAGTATTCGCTTCGCGAGTCTGCGATGTACAGTCAAACAAGGTTGTTGTTCGTGTCAAGCGACTGGGTGGCGGTTTCGGAGGAAAGGAGTCACGATCAGTGATTCTCAGTTCTATCTTGGCGCTTGCGGCAAAGAAGACCAAGAGACCAGTCCGATACATGCTGTCGCGAGAGGAAGATATGGTTACAAGTGGACAACGCCATCCTTTCCTTGGAAAATACAAGGTTGGAGTGAACAAGGACGGTAAGATCCAAGCTTTGGATTGCGATGTCTTCAACAATGCAGGTTGGACATTCGACCTCAGTGCAGCCGTGTGCGAACGAGCAATGACCCATATCGATGGTTGCTACGATATTCCTAATGTGTACATCCGAGGACGCCTGTGCAAGACGAACACGATGTCCAACACTGCGTTCCGAGGATTTGGTGGACCTCAGGGGATGTTCATCGCAGAGTCGTACATGGAGGAGGTGGCTGACCGATTGGGAATGCCCGTCGAAACGCTGCGCCAGATCAACTTGTACGAGAAGGACGGCCAGACTCATTTTGGTCAAGGCCTTGGAGATTGGCATGTTCCCCTGATGTACAAGCAGGTGCAGGAAGAGGCGATGTACGAAGCACGCCGGCACGCCATTACCGATTTCAACCAGACGAACAAGTGGCGGAAGAGAGGTCTGGCTCTGATTCCGACCAAGTTTGGTATTTCGTTCACCGCTCTATTTCTGAATCAGGCTGGCGCTTTGGTGCACATCTATCACGATGGCTCTGTCTTGGTGGCCCATGGTGGTACTGAGATGGGACAAGGCTTGTATACCAAGCTCACCCAGATTGCAGCACAAGCACTGGGTGTTCCATTGGACAACGTCTTCATCTCCGAGACTTCTACCAATACGGTGGCCAACGCCTCTGCAACAGCTGCTTCAGCCTCGTCAGATCTGAACGGATACGCCATCTTCAACGCGTGTGAGCAGTTGAACGAGCGACTGGCACCATACCGCAAGAAGCTGGGCCCTGAGGCGAGCATGAAGGATCTTGCCCATGCTGCTTACTTCGATCGTGTCAATCTTTCTGCCCAAGGCTTCTACAAGACACCTGAGATTGGGTATGATTGGAACACTAATAAGGGCAAGATGTTCTTCTACTTCACTCAGGGAGTTGCCGCAGCTGAAGTGGAACTGGATCTACTGACTGGAACATGGACCTGCATACGCGCAGATATCAAGATGGATGTTGGCCAGTCTATCAACCCAGCGATTGACTATGGTCAAATTCAGGGTGCCTTCATCCAGGGTCTTGGTCTCTTTACAATGGAAGAATCGTTGTGGCTACGCAACGGTCCTATGGCCGGACATCTCTTCACACGGGGTCCTGGCGCATACAAGATTCCTGGGTTCCGAGATATCCCTCAAACTTTCAACGTGTCACTCCTCAAGGACGTGGAATGGAAAGAGCTACGTACCATTCAACGCAGCCGTGGTGTGGGTGAACCGCCCTTCTTCATGGGGAGCTCGGTCTTCTTCGCTATTCGAGATGCACTCAAGGCAGCGCGCGCACAGTTCGGAGTAAAGGCTACGATCGGCGATGACTCTTGTGAGGGGCTTCTGCGGCTCGAGAGTCCAGCGACGCCTGAAAGGATCCGATTGGCGTGTGAAGATGAGATTATGCGCAAGGCGAGAGTCTTGCCCAAGGAGGGAGAGAGGAGCTTCTTTGTTGCGATCTAGTCTGATACATGAACTTTCTAGGAGGAACTACGAGGTCTAGCAAGGATTTTGGTGTTTGGGAAACTTGTTACTATTGGAGTTAAGGTTGACATGGCCAGGCACACTTTACGAGTAATATGAAATGGATATCATGTTTGTATGGCAGAATCTCTGACCTTGGTGATGTACGTGCGTCTTGGCCCAAGTAAAAACGAAGTTACCAACAGAATATGGATCAAATCCTATTGGTCAAAATCCTCTTTAACCTTCCAAAGTCGTCAACCACCGAACTGAAGCTACCCGTGAATCGGCGACATTCGGAACGAGAGCAACGAACTACAAGAATACTTTCAACGGCAAGTTGACAATATGACATCAGCGATATAGATTAACGAGGAAAGGATGCTATGCGGCAATTAATATAGTGCAAAAATGAGAAGTGATATTAACATGATAGAGTTACAGTGAAGGAATAATAACGCGCAGAGATGCCCCAGACGAGCTATTACTCGATTTGGACAAGTGTTTCAGCCTGCTGTGAGTTTATTTAGCGCCGTTCTCTTTCACCGAAGGTCAAGGTCAGCAGCGGATGCCATGGAGTAAGGTATCTATCGTACCAGATCCTTTTCTAGAAGATCATGTCAGAAATGGTCAAGAAAAGACTCATGGTCCCTGCTGTGTGCACGGTCTGTTTTTATCATTTGAGAGGAGTGAGATGGCCTGATTGTTCAAGAGAATGGGATTGTACCTAAGTATGAAATTAGAGGCTGGGGTCAGCGGATGTGAGATGTTGGAGTTCAATTGGAGGCCTGTCTGTCTTATTCAGATATGGACGTATATCTCCCATTCTGGCAGTTATATGCCCTTCATAATGGTCTACCTAGGTTGTACCCCAGAAAGTGAGGTAAATGCATAAAGTACAGTTTTCGTCTTGTCTCGCAACACTGTATAGTGTAATTACATTATGGCTATGACCTAGGTAATGAACTCTGTATAGATGCTTCGGCTGACTGCTCTTGCCTCGGCTGCCGGCAGTTTGTAAGCAATTAAACTGGAAGCCAAGTTGCCAACTAGTTCGACATTAGAAGCTCATGAATCGATGAGTATGATTAATGTACTAACTTGTGTATGTCTGCAGGTTTGAGGCTTTTGGGAATAGTTGTTCTGGACTGTGCTCCGGCGGTACGGAGACTCACCCGGACCCGCCCCGGCCGCTCGTTCACCGAGACCGGGGGACAATGACCACTGACACCATCCCTAAACCCCGCTATTCCAGTACGTCCAGCCCCCAGAGAGCAAGTTCCCGCTGGTAGCCCTCTGTCTGAGTGAGGAGGTGCAGTTGACGTTTAGCTCTGGCCTGTTACTTCATTCTCTGAAATGGGGAGAGATCTCATTCTCTCATTTATAATTTTTGACTAACATTAACCAAACCCATGTCAAATACGAGTCACTTTTAATATTTTTCACGCTCTTGACGACGATATTCAACGTAAACTGGCTGATCCAAGGCCCACTTCGCTCGTGAGCTGTGCGCTGCTTCTGCTTCTAAGCGCCCCCACAATCCTCAGTCAAAGTCACTGGGCTGGGTGGTCAACCAAGCAAGACCAGCCTATTTCGGCCCCAGGTCTAAGCCTAAGCCTAAGCCTAGGCCAACGCCTCCAGCTGGCTCAAACTTCACCGTCCAGGTCCTCGTAAGTCTTTTTGCCTTCTCTTTCGACTTGGGCGGCTACAAGACAAGCTTCTGGTGTCCATTGCTTCACCTCTCCTGGGCCAGCCTCGGCTGCTGAGCTATCAATTCATCTCTTGCATCTCGTTGCACTCACTCGTGCCCTTCAAAACCTCATCCTTTCGACCGTTTCGGCTCACACCACCTGCGCAGCCACTTTCCCTCCCGTCCTCCCCTCCCCCTCCACGGGACCAATTCACGCGCTCGCGACTCCTCCCAGAGAAAAAGCTACCTTACAGTCAACAAACCTACACCCGCGCACAGGACCTGCAGAAATAGCAATCGCAATCGCAACAACTAGACTAGCCGCCGACAACGTGCGAATGGATCGTGTCGCTTCGGCTGAGCTGTAGACCCATACAAGTTTGCTGCAGCGAGCCGCAAATGATCTGCGAACCTGACGCCGCCTTGCGTAACCAAGAGATCCAATGGGAGCATAAGACACAATGACCGACCGGAATGCCTCTACCATGGGCAAGAGCGCTAAGCAGGAGCCCGCCAAAGGCGACGATGGCAAGGCTGTGAATCGCGACAAGAGCTCGAATGCCACTGCTTCTGGGAATAACAAGGCCCCTACGAAAAAGAGACGCAAAGTCAACCACGGTACGTTTTCCTAAGTAACGACGCTATCCTCCCTTGTACAGGTTCTAGATGTGGTGTTGCGCCTGTGCTCATGGGGGTTCGCGCTGGGGTTGTGAGTAAAGGTCATGATGCTGGATAGTTGCGATCAAAGGAATCCTGCATCATGACCAATCAACTAGCCAAGCCATCGACCCGTCAACTCCAATTCCAAGGGCAAGGTTCAACATGGCGCATGCATCCATCTATCTACCGTAACAAGAAGAACATTGGGCTGACATCGCTGCGGCGCTCCATTATAGCTTGTGTATATTGCCGACGATCTGTAAGTCAACCCCAAGTTTCAACGACGCGCGTTCGCATTGGTTCTGTCTGGACCTCGAGCAGCTTTAGGCGTTCTAAGCAGCCAGTTCATTTGTTGAGCTGAAGTATTGTGCGACGGACATGGCGCCTATGAGACAAATCTCGTCTAGTTTACCCATTACTTTGCATATGTGAACTTTGAGAGAACTGTAGCTGACAATCTGTTTTCTACCTGCGTCCAGCATATGACTTGCGATCTTGTAAGTACGATCCTAGGCGACCCCTGCTTCTCACCTTGATAACATGCTGGGACACCTGAGCTGCAGCTGTTGTGTTCAGCTATTCAGGGGAGGGGCTGGCTTTCTACACCATCAGAACCAAGTCACTGACGCCATGAATAGGAGAGACCATGCACCAGATGTATTAAGCGGAACATTGGACACCTCTGTCACGATGAGCCTCGCGATGCCGATTCCAAGAAGGCAAAGAGTGTTCAGAGCACCCAGAGCATACAGGCGCCCTCTGTAGTTGATGAATCGGACGCACAGTCCGATATGGCTCGTAGCTCGATTTCTAGTACCATGGGCCCACCTCCCCCAACGTTCGACACGACGAGGCAGCAGCGAGGTTCCAAATCTTTTGGGGGAGTGCTGGGTCAAGGAAGCCCACTGTCCATTGTGCAACCCGGCCAGGTCTCGGGCCTGCAGGGCAATGCGTTGAACAACGGCAACAGTAACGCGAATCAATGTACGTTTAGTGTCCCTCTGTCCTGCCCTCCACTGAGAGGGGCCTGTCCCTTGTTTCGATTTTTAATCACGAGCGGAGCGGAGCTGGGTGGGCTGAGGCTGGGGCTGCCCAGAAATCTGTTCCTGATCTGAGATCGCTGACACGCCACTAGTTGCTGGCTTCCAAGATGCGTGGATGACAGCTCAGAACCATTTTCATGATATGCACAGCTATCACCCCAACTACATGATTGCCTCAGAAGTCACTCACGAGTTCAATCTTCTCAACGATTTCCTCCATACGAGTCTACTCGATGACGGTAGTGTGCCGCCAGAGGAACAACAGAGCCCGGCATTCAAGCGGTCGAGCCAGAGCCAGTCGGAGATGCTACCCAGGTTTGGAAATAACACCAACACCTCTATGGGAGCCGGTGGTTCAAACACCATGTCAAACATGACAGAGGGATCAATGCTGCCACCCCCTCCGAATGTTGAGGGCAAGAACATTCCACGACCGGGAAGCGTTGTGCCCGCTGACAAGGCTCGCGAATACTATCTACAGGCCGCCGACCCATCAGGCAACGACACGCCAGAGGAGCGAATGGGACGTGTGCTCAGGGCCAAGTACGACGCTGGACTGCTAAAGCCGTTCAATTACATCAACGGTTATTCTCGCTTGGGTGCATATCTCAATTCACACATCACAACAGCGTCACGGGAAAAGATTCTAAGGACCATCGCCCGGTTCAGGCCCGCTTTTCGAGAAAAGGCACATGCTCTGACGGATATGGAACTTGTGTACGTTGAGATGTGGTTTGAGAAACAGCTCATGGACTACGACCGGGTGTTTGCAAGCATGGCAGTGCCCGCGTGCTGCTGGCGAAGAACCGGTGAAATCTTCAGGGGCAACAAGGAGATGGCAGAGTTGATTGGCGTGTCAGTAGCTCAACTGAGAGATGTAAGTCTTTGCTTTGCTTGGCCTACACCTCCTCGTGACAGTAGTTTGGTGCAAGCCAAAGCACAGGGGGTTTTGGCAAATGAATGGATTGCTAACGTTCGCTTACCCTAGGGCAAAATCGCGTTGCACGAAATCCTCACAGAAGAATCAATGGTGCGATACTGGGAAGAGTTTGGCACGATTGCCTTCGATCCAGCGCATGAGACCCTCTTGACAGCCTGCTCTCTGAAGAATCCAACCCCTGGGTCAACGCATCCAGTTGTGAAATGCTGTTTCTCGTTCATGATCAGAAGAGATGAGCACAAACTGTACGTATTCGTCACTCTGGCTCCATCTGCCTCCTTCGCAATATTGACTAATTCGAATAGGCCAGCTCTGATTGTTGGCAATTTCTTGCCGCATGACCCACCAGCACAATAACCATGGGTTTGATACATGTATATGCCGTAAATATATGATGCTTCGTGAGAAGAAGCACAGCATGAGTTGCCACACTTGCAAAAGAGTGCTATAAGGCCTCAAACATTACCTGAGTCAGAAAAAGAAAATAGGTGGAATTGGGAAAGGCGCTAAGATACAAGGATTCGGAGCGTATGTATTCATTTGCATTACGTTAGACAGGAGACAACAGTTTGAATATTATCTTGCTTTCGAAAAGTTCCTTGGTGATGATATTCTTCTGGGTTCTTGGGCTCTCGACCTTTTGAGCCCGGTTTTCGGCTTTGGGCAGTTGGTTGGGCAGTTGGAAGGAGCATTCTCATCGCTCCTGCTCTCAACCGTTCCGCAGCAGACTCACATGACTGAATTCTAAATGCAGGAGGATCTTATGGGGTTGAGGTATTCCTTACCTTAACGTACCTCACCTATTCTTTCCGTTCATATACCTGATAATCACGTTATTCTCCAAATACACGGCTTCTGATACAAGGCGGCTGCTTTCTCCTTTTTCAAATCTGTCATGGCGTCGGCTGAAGTATCTGCTATAAACCACACCAAGAAGCTCGAAGAAATCATAGGCAAGGATTAAACAGCGAATAGACGTGGCAGATATTACTGACTCGCAGTATCGGGACAGAATTCGCCACGGATCTCTTCTCCAAGTTGCCCACCTCATGTGACTCGAGCTCAACCGATGTTCTCCTTTCCGACCTGAACCATCACATCAACACGGCCAATAATCTTGCGGAGAACCGCATTGCTCCTCCGTTAGAAGTCTCCAGGGATCTGAAGGATATTGGAAGGAAGCTATGGAACGAATGTATCAAGGAAAGGAGAAGGAGGGACAACCTCCTGCAGTCCGCTTCTAGAACTCTACTGCTGGTTCGCACTCGGGTCCTGGCCTTCCTCGCCCATGCTCTGGCACGGGAGCATCGACGTGGTAAGAGGAGGGATAATCTGGAAGAAATAATATACATGATGGGCTTGTCACTCACGTTGGCGCGAGTTTGTGTCGAATCATCGGACCTGGATGGCGCGCTTCTGAGTATGGCCAAAGCTGCGGACTACATCGGCCGACTAAAGAAGATCGACAACTTGACCGCTGAAGATACCACGCAGGTGCAAAAGATTGAAGCTGAATATTTGACCATGCGATGTGCTTTGGTGAGTTGAAAAACAGCATCTCTGACGACTTGCTGACTGGTCAAGTCATGGAAACAGGGCCGTCTCGACGTTGCGGAGCACATGTACGCCAAAGCAGATGACCTCTTACACAATCTCGGTCCAACTTCTGCTGAACATTTGGCTGACACGTTTCACGGTATTGGGGGCGACCTCTTGTCGAGAGGCGATAATGAAATGGCCTTGAAGTGGCTCCGGCGTGCACTTGACCTCATAAATGACCAAGCGCTAGAAAGGCTTTCAATTGAAGGGCTGGAACTTCGAATATCCATCCACCACGAACTCATACAGGCATTTATCGCCACCGGATCGCAAGATGGACTGGAAGAAGCTGAGAATCTTGTGTCGCATGTGGAGTCAGAGATCGGGGACAAGCCAGTGGTACTACATTGGAGACTCGAGATTCTTCAACGGTCTCCCAGCGAAGTCTTCAACGCCGATGCATGCGCAAGTATACTACGCCGCATGATACGTTCGCTCGATCTGTCGGACGCTGGGCTCGGCTTTCTTCTACACGGTATCAGCGAACTGCGAATGAGAGGTCCACGTTTAGCGATAGGTCTCATGGACGAGTTATTACTCAGGAAACTTATGCCTTCCCGTAACATGGATTGGATAGGCAAAGCAATTGTCCGGCGAGTTTGGATGGGCACGATGGAAGCAGATGCGTCTGTGAGTGTTGCAGATCTAACGCAAACACTGGATCAGCTCGTTCAGGAAGCTGGTCAGTGTGATGTTGAGGCCTCAACTGCTGCACTTTCTGTCAGTCTAAGTACTTCAACACTCTTTCGTGCACTTAACTGACAAGAGAAGCTCATTTGGAAGAAGCTTGATACTAGTTATTCCAAAAAGCAGTACAAAGAATCCCAGCTTTGGTGCCAGGCTGCGCTCCACTCCATCTTTGCGAATAGTGGCGAGGAGTGTCAGGGCAAGTTCAGCAGGCGGCTGGTGCTGTGCGCTACCTCTTGTAATGATGCAGAGGCTGCACTTTCTGCATTTCACTTAATGCCTAGAAGCATACAAGATGAGCCGCTCACCAGATATCTCATGTTCCGGGTTTCTCTTCTGAACTGGGACCATAACTTGGGTCGCCAATGTGTCGAATTCCTGGGCAAATTTGCCGAGAAATCTCAGTGCCGAGATATACTATACGCATGTATAAGAGATGCACAGCTCGTCGGCGATAAGCTGATGACCCTGGAAGCTTTGAAGGCGGTTGCCGAAACCTTTGATGATGAAGGCTCTTTGACAATCAATCTGCCATCGATTCTGAGGTGTACAATCAGGCTTATACACTCGCTTGAGTCGCAAGAGGGTAGCGAAGGAGACCCAAGTCCTGAACTTGCAGAAGAAACTTGCCGAATTTTCGAAAGGGGTAAGCTCTCTCTCAAGATGTTGACTGTGTTCTAACACGCACAGCTGGTGAGCACGCCAAATTGGAACCAAAGGATGAGCAAGGTTGCAAAGTCTTCACAGTATCGGAGCTGCACTGGTTTCGAAAGAACGCATACAACATCGGTGTGACAAAGTGTCATGTCTAGGGGCTGTGGCATCTAATCCGCATTTTCCGTGCGTGTCTCGCATTTGTGGATTGTTACCCATCCAATCTTCCTTCGGAGGATGATACTGATCTACGACTTATGTCCGTCCGTTGTCACTTTGTCGTCGCTGCGGCACTTATCTCCCAGGCTCGTACCGGGGACAAGGTAGATGAACAGCTGCAGCAGTACCTTGAAACGAGACGGCACATTTCAGAATTCGACACCCTTTTTGACGCTCATTTCCGAAACGATCCCAAGTCTCAGATATATCCCGACCTCCTGGCCAAGCTGTCAACGCTTTTTGTCTTTGACTTTGAGAGTGCTGTGTGCTTGAAGAGTTGGGACGATCTTAGTCAGATTATTAGAAGGGCTCGAATTTGCAAAGATGAGATGATGTACAAGGCGATGGGAGACTGCTTGTTAAGGAGTGAAGCTTCAGGAAACGGTATGTATTGACTGGTTTCTAGCAGTGCACACGGAAAACTAATTCCAGTAGTCGTATATGGAACCATGCGGCTTATTATCAATGAGATATTCTTACTGGAGCAATTTGACAATCAGCAACTCGCAAAGTACATGCGATGCATGTTCCAAGCTATCCTACCCCTGGACGACAACCTTGCTTTCCAGGTTGTGGGACAAGCAGTCCAAATAGCACGCGAAGGAAGCCAAGTAAGTGGTTCCTGTTACTATAGATTCTTGGTCGGGTTCAGTTCTAGGGAGTGCTAACGTTTTAACAGATGCAGAAGCCTTTTCCTGCAGAGGACTTGGACTGGATCATCGCAACAACATTTAATCATGCGATTGATATCTTGGCAAGAGGTGACGAGGATCTATGTCAGCAATGGGCTATGAAGGCCCTTGACCTGACCGAGTATATGGATGACAATGGCGATATGCGAGATATGCTGCGTGAGAGAGTTGTCAAGCTGGGCTTGAGCAAAGGGGCACCCAGCTGAGTTGCGACATATACTTGATTCACACCAATGTTCACGCACTTTTTGTCTTCAAAATTGGTACCGGAATATAAATGAAACGGTCTTGATGGAATATCCAAGCTGAAACTTGTCTTGCACATCTTGTGCTACCACACAAACGGTAAATTCGTGTATCCATTATAACCGTTGCAGAAAGTATACAGCTCTATGGGTCATGTCCCAACAACGCCGGGTGCGCCTCTGTGCTATGCAAATATCCTATACTCATCTCATGCAGCGCGTGGTATCTTCGTACAGATTCTCCCCAAGCAGTACTATACTATACTACCTGGAAGCAGCTATACGCAACAAAATATCAGGACGCCATGTCAAAAAAACAGAATGCACCAAAACCAGGCTGTTTATATGCGCCTTGTTCCTTCAACTTTTGCAGGTGAGCCAGCTTCCAGCACTAGACAAGGAAGACAAGGCTCATAAAATAAACATTAAAAATCGCTTTCGTAATTCCCCGCCAAACTCTTTATATAATATTGGCGATACTCAACCGCTCTTTGCTGGTAGCTGGAGCGGTTGCGCTTCCACTCGGTGTCCTGCTGCCCCCTGCCACAGGGCTCACCGCTGTGCTTCCCTCGCCCAACTTGGGTATCTCGGACCCGAAACGCGATACATCCCCTAGCCTTGGGAGTTCCACCGCTGGGCCAGGCGTCTCGCTCTTGATGGGCGGAGGCAGCGTCCAAGTTGCACTCGAGGGGGTCGGAGTCGTGGCTGGCACGCCATCCAGTCCACGAATGGCCGTCTCGAGTCTTGCCCATCCACCCCAATCTTTGTTGTCGACTTCATCCAATCCCGTACGAGCCTCAGGGCTGAACAACTCGTTTCTGGTGGCCGATGGGGGATGCTGAAACGGCGATGGGGACTGGTGTAGATGGACTTCTCGCTCTAGGCCTGCCCAAAGCCACGAGGCATCATGAGATGCCTGAAGATCGGCGGAAACGTATACAATCAAATCCTCGTCGCGTGAAAGCATCTGTAGAAGAGCTGCTTGATCTATCGATGGCCGTGAAGAACCAAAGTGCGGCGGTGCACTCCTTGCTAGGTAGTTTGTACACTCAACTCTCTTGGCTGCCAAGGCGGATACGAAGAACGACAGGTAACGACCGCATGCGATTGTGATATCCCTTTGTCGGTCGATGGAAGCCAGTGCTCTCACGGCCGTCACTGCAGGGTCTATGTAGCCTGTAAGGAGAAGAAATAGGGCACAGCGAAATATGTGCGTGGTCAACAATGCAGTTGCGCTGTCGGCCAAGAGGCTTCCGTTTAATCGATGAAGCAGAGATACTGTTTCGAGAGCAATGTGAGTGCAGCTTTCAAGAGAAGCCATCCGAGCCTCGAGGGGGTACACAGGATCGAGATGGTGCCGATGTAGGAGAAGACGAGCGTGGAATAGGTATGCCAACGGAGCAAGAAAGCCAGGTGCAAGGGGTACACTGCTCGCAGGGTCACATGCTGGCGGAAAGGTGTTCAGGCATTTCTTCAGATGGGTATCAAGGGTTGAAAGATGGGCTGATGACATCGACTGGGTTGTCAGTGCTGTAAGAAGCGATGAATACGACCGTACAACATGGATGACGGCGAGCAGAGAGTGAGTCAAAGGTTCCGCTCCCGTAGGTACCAACATGCCTCCTTCGTGGATAAACTGATCGTCAACCCCGGCTGGCAATGACACGTCGCAGTCGTCGTCGTCGATCAAAACAGGTCGGCTCAGCTCAGTAGCCAAGGTCCGGTCAAGTATGTATATCATCCACCAGGTCCTGCGTCGCATCTCTCCTTCGATCACCGGCCACGGCCCTGATTCAGCGTGCATGCCGAGATCTTGAGAAACACGAACAGCCCTACCCAACCATCCCCAAGCTGCTGACTTCAAGTTCATCTCGTTCAGGCAGAGAGTTACTAATGTTAGTGCCCGGGCATGTTCCAGAGTAAAGTCATTAGACCACGGGTCAATCATCTTGTTGGCCATCTCAAGAAATTCGGCAGGTTCGTAAAAGGAGTTTGGCTGGGAGCCTGATGCTGGGCTGAAGAGACTGCCAGTTGCCAGGACTGCGAAGAACATAGAAAGCCAGGCTGGGGACATTCTGTTGGACGCATTGCTGTTGTAGAGGCCGTTGATAGTAGATCGGAACGATGGCATGTGTATGATCGGAAACATGGAGTGGGACGAGTTGCAATAGGCGTGCAGCAGTTGGTCTACAACGTGCTTGGGAGGTAACTCTGGTCTCGGGGGGTCGAAGAATATAGGGGTTCGTTCACGATACTGGGCCGGGAGTTTCCAGATACCTCTCGAGAAATCGCGTACATTGGCCCTCGCTCTCGCTAGCTCTGGTACTGGTGCTGGTCTCTTTCGTCGATTCGGTTCGGATCCAATGGCTGGTAAGCTAAAGCTGTTCTCGTCACCTCCTTCAGCATCGAGGTCCATGGGCCCTTCTCGATCCTGAAGCATACGGCGCAATCCACTGTTCTCCCTTTTCACTCGTTCCATTTGCTTCTCCAAGTCCTGCACCTGTTTGATGGACGACATACGCCGGTTCGTCTCCTTGGTGAATTGACATTTGACATTTCGGCTCGAGCACTCCGAGCAACTTGTCGTCTCGGTTGCGTCACATTTCACCTTTCTTTCTCGACAAGCATCACAACTGGGGTCCTTCCTTCGTTGTCGGTATGCTCTCTTCTGCCCCTGACCACCTGGTCCTGATAAGTGGGCGGATGATGGTCCCGGAGTGCTGGCTACAGACTCATTCGAAGCGAGTGAATCGTGTCCAAGAGAAGATGATGTGGTCATTGGGCCGTACGGTTGAAAGCCCTGAGTGACTGGAGGTAAAGGAGGGATGCCAATAGGTTGGGGCGTTGCCGGAACATTCAGGCGTGGGTTGGTACTCATGGCCCCTGGCGCAAACTGGGACAAAGATTTGGGGGAAGTTGCAGATGAGACTGAAGACGAGTCGTAGGATCTGTTTGAGAGATTGGGCGAGCGAGCATAAACGTTCTGCGGCGTTGACATAGCTGGGTGCCCTCTCGGTGCCCAGCCTCTACTAGGATTTGTCGAGGAAGCCTCAAAAGGTCCCCCAACGGGATGAACGTTAGGGGGGCGTCGGTCAACGAGCATAAAGGTAACTCTGTTGAACAAAAGCTGCAGATCGTCAAGTACAAAGTGGGCAAACTCCCGTTTCTCGCTTTGCCCGGAAAGAAGAAGCTAGGATATGCCGTTTGTTTGTCAATCAACCCTGCAACGGAACCTTCAATCTTTGCCGCCAGTGTCCTAGTCCGCAATCAACAGTGTGAATTCGTCTCTGCGAAATGGATATCTTGAGTGTCGCGAAGCTGTGTAACCCGAGACCTTTTTGCTCCGAAGTAGTTATTCGGCTCATCACCTTGTTTAACACTAGGGATAGATTGCGGGTTTCCCAAACTACAATGCTTGGACCAGGAACGGCTAAGCAAAGCTTTAGGCCGTTACCGTTGTACCTGATAGCACTCCTTCTAGACTTAGAATGTCTATTTGGGGTCCAAAGTTCTAGTGGTAGGCGAGAGTATCTGCGGCTCGGAGTACTGGCCGAGTTAGAACGAGTGACTTCAAGAAGAGCGTCGGCTGTGTTGTGAAGTCGCAGCCTTAGAGACCCGGGACAATCTGTTGTTCTGGAAGGGCCTGCGAAGAAGAAAAGAAAAGGCGAGGCCACGAGGCCGGAGCTGACGTCGTTAGGTTTGGCTCACGGCGACTAGGCTGAGAGAAAGAGGAAATGTACCGTATGGAAGAAGAGGCGCCTGCAGGCAGGTATATCGCTGCTCGTCACTAGCTACCTGGGCGGGCACAACAGCAACAGGAGCAGCAGGAGCAGCACCATGTTAGTGGCGCTGGTCCGTGATCCGGGGCTCTCCGCGCGTTAACGCAGATTCGGAAATATTATCTGGGCCAGGCGATGGTAAATTGGGGGGAGGGGTGGCCGGACCCTTGACGAGTTGGCTGAGCAGGGCTGTTGAGAGATCAGCCATGGCCGCTAATGTGTTTCGAGCGGAGACGGGCATCCTTGAATATGTTGCTAGTCATAATCCCAGATCCTAGCAGTATATCCATCGATCCAACAAGACAAGTGCTTGTACCAACCCAATACCACCCTCGGATGTCAGAACTCGGGTCCGTAGTGAGATCTTGGACTTGATCATCAACAAGAAGACCCTGTGCGCCAATTGCTCTCAGCTATGCATGACTTGAGGACGACTTTGCAGAATATGCTCTTAAAGCTTGGTTGGTTCAGTAAGCGCACTATAAGTTCAGTAACCAACGACTGAGTGAGCCATTTCCTGCGCTGTGCTGACCGATATGCCCGTCTGGACCAAGCTTTTCTCGGCGCTGGTGTGCTGAGAAAAGCTTGGTACTTCCGGAAGTTGTTATGCACAAACAAGCCGGTCGATATTTGGTCATCTTTGCCTTGTGTTATCCGCGATGCCATGTGCTACCCCCGCGCCTAGATCGGCGTGCCTTGTTGTAGTAAGGTCGGTCAGGTATTCGTAGATGAGGCCCAGAAAATTCGCCGAATCTCAACCTCCAGTCTCAAACACGTTGACTTGATTTAAATATACAAAATACCACTATAATGAAACAGATCTATCCTAGATTCCCCGGACATAACACCTTGCAATAGTATGCAGCAGAACCGAAGTTCGTATGTATCGATCAAACCGAGTTACTTACGTGATAGTGACATGTTTGCAGCCGATTGCACACATCAGGGTGTAGTCTCAGAACTGAAACACATCGTCTGTGCGGTCTGGCATGGTTCAGCGGTATCTGGCTACTATCTGACTGCTTGACTAGTGGAGCGTGGAGCTATGGAGCTATGGAGCTCAACTGCACAAGGCTCACTAACTCCTGATTCATGGTTGTCATGCCAGATATGTGGCGTCAGCAGCCGATAGGCAGTTTGAGGCCAGGGATAGAATGGTGATGTAGACGGGAACTAGAATAA